TGGCACAACTGGGGGCCGAAGTCACACCGGCCAGCCGGTTTGGTACAGCTGATGCGGCCGCGATGGCGGTTGCCGACGGGAAACTGGCGAGCGCGTGTTGAATGCCGCGCACGCATTGCCAGACGAGTCGAGAATGGCCCGGTACACCGCAGGAAGCCATAGGTGGCCGGAGGAAGCCCGACGGTCTGACAGGACACCCCAAAGCATTTTTGTGAAAAAGCATTGGGTTTTTGATGTTTGTATGTTGAAATGCTTGCAAACACACGGTTTTCGGTAGGATTCTGACATGAACGCGCGAGTGTGCTCTTTGTGGTATTTTTTGCACAGGATTCGCGGCCTGGGTGCATGACAGGGCATCGCGAGTGCACCGCGCGATGACGTGAAATCGCTGGATTTGACCGAATTCTTAAGATTCCTATGGTTTTCCTATGATTTCAGCAAGAGAGCCCGGGCGGGACATTTGTACAATTTTTGTGAAAAAAGCATTGGGTTTTTGATGTTTTTATGTTGAAATGCTTGCAAACACACGGTGTTCGGTAGGATTCTGACATGAACGCGCGCGTGTGCTCTTTGTGGTATTTTTTGCAATGGATTATCGCCGTGGACGACAGGACGTCCATGTCGAGAGGAAAAAAAAAATGTTGATGTTGTATTGTTTTTAACAGGTTACGATGGGACCACCCGGATGCGGCCCCTATCGGCCGGCCTGAGGGGGGAGTAGGGTATATTCTAATAAGGAATAAGGATAGGAGTAGGAGGACGATTAGTAGTTAGTAGTTATAGTAGTAGTAGTAGTATAGTAGTAGTAGTAGTAGTAGTAGTAGTAGTAGATAGTAGTAGTAGTCGTAGTAGTAGATAGTAGTAGTTTTAGTAGTAGTAGTAGTAGTAGTCGTAGGGTCGTTAGTTAGTAGTAGTAGAGAGTAGTAGTAGTAGTAGTAGAGTAGTACCTACTAGAGTAGTAGTCGTAGTAGTAGAGTAGTACTAGAAGCAGCAGCAGTAGTTAGTAGTAGTAGTAGTAGTCGTCGTCGTAGTCCGTAGTCGTGTCGTAGTCGTTCGTAGTAGTAGTAGTAGTAGTAGTAGTAGTAGTAGTAGTAGTAGTCGTAGTGTAGGTAGAGCCAGTAGTAGTAGTAGTCGGAGTAGATAGTCGTAGTAGTAGTAGTAGTAGTAGTAGTAGTAGGTAGTAGTAGTCGTAGTAGTCGTAGTAGTCGTAGTAGTAGTAGTAGTAGTTAGTAGTAGAGGTAGTAGTAGACAGTGAGTAGTAGTAGTAGTAGTAGTGGTAGTAGTCGTAGTAGTAATCCTCGTTGTAGTAATAGTAGTAGTAGTAGTAGTAGTAGTAGTAGTAGTAGTAGTAGTAGTAGTTGTAGTAGTAGTACTAGTAGTTAGTAGTAGTAGTAGTAGTAGTAGTAGTAGTAGTAGTAGTAGTAGTAGTAGTAGTAGTCGTAGTCGTAGTCGTAGTCGTAGTCGTAGTTCGTAGTCGTAGTCGTAGTCGTAGTCGTAGTCGTAGTCGTAGTCGTAGTCGTAGTCGTAGTCGTAGTAGTAGTAGTAGTAGTAGTTACGAGTAATAGTAGTAGTAGTAGTAGTAGTCATAGTAGTAGTAGTAGTTAGTAGTAGTAGTAGTGCAGTAGTAGTAGTAGTAGAGGTAGTACTATTAGTAGTAGTAGTAGTAGTAGTCGTAGTAGTAGTAGCAGTAGCAGTAGTAGTAGTAGTAGTAGTATAGTAGTAGAAGGGTAAGTAGTAGTAGTAGTAGTAGTAGTAGTAGTAGTATAGTAGTAGATTAGTATTAGTAGTAGAGAGTATAGCCGTAGTAGTAGTCGTAGTAGTAGTAATAGTATGAGGAGAGTGGTTAGTAGTAGTAGTAGTAGTAGTAGTAGTAGTAGTAGTAGTAGCAGTAGTAGTAGTAGTAGTAGTAGTAGCAGTAGTAGTAGTAGTAGTAGTAGTAGTAGTAGTAGTCGTAGTAGTAGTAGTAGTAGTAGTAGTAGTAGTAGTAGTAGTAGTGGGAGGAGGAGGAGGAGGTGGAGGAGGAGGAGGAGGAGGAGTAGGATTTACGGAGGTACGGATAATACGATTGCGTCGGTTACGGAGGGACCCCAAACAGCACGCCTAAACTGGTTTACCCACAGCTGCACGCTTGGCTCTGCTATAAACTTTGGGCCATAAGCCCTGCTGAATTCGCTCCCAGTTGTCTTGACGACCGCGCTTGGGATCGCATTCCTCGGATACTCTGCAAGCTGTTCAGCTGCGAGGCTCCCAAATTGCTACACACAGCCAAATCCCCAGCCCAGCGTGGTATTTCAGTGGGCGTGTCCTAAGGGCCCCCCCCCCTAGACGTCCACCTGCTGCCCTGCCCCTCCGAAGGCGGCGCCAGCGGCGCCCCCTTCGAGGCGGACAGCGCGCGGTCGACCTCGGCGGCGTCGGAAGCCGGCGCGGAGGAGGTCCGCGAGCGGTGGGCGGACATCGGCAGCGACGGGGAGCAGGACAGGGAGGGGCCGGAAGAAGCCTGACGTTCTCGCGCCGTGGAATCATCAGGGGCAGCGATCGGGGGGATTGCGCTCGGGAGGGGATGGGGGGGCGTTTTCTCTGGCTCTCGGTGGTTTGCCAGCCACGGGATGCCTTGCAGCAGCTGCGCCTCGCTGAGAGCGTTCCGGGGGTGCCCGAATCGTGCCGAACGGCCGCTGGAGGTATGACCCGAAAGCCAAGGGGCAACATTACAAAAATTACGACGGGAGGTATTCGGCCGTTTTTGGCCTTCGTGTACCCCCAATGGGCCCCGAGACTCCCCAAAACCGACTCAGGATGAAACTCTTGTTCCAGAGATCCAGTTTCCGACGATACGGTTTTCGTCAGTCTTGGCGTTCTCTCTCGATTTTGGCCTCCAGCAACGCGTCGTCGGGCCCTGGGGCCATCAAGAACAGATCCGCGGCGAAAAACTGGCCCCGGGAAGGGTGTCGGGATTTCTGGGGCCCCGCATTGAAACAATCACATCGTCTGAGGCTCCTGAATTATCAAGGAACGGCTCAATGCAAGAAGCATAACGCGTCTTTTTCGGACGTCCGCGCCGATGTTTTGGGTCGGCGCTGGCCCCCTTTCAAGAAGTCCGCGCGGACCTCCGCAAGATGGTGCTTATTCCTCATGTCCTAAGATGGCTTCTTGTTATTCTTCAGACGTTTGAGACTTCTCCTTGCCACTCTTCCTTGCTCTTCTTTTTCTCCCTCACTGAAAACCCACGACCCACTCAAACTCAGAACTCACTCACGTGGGGAGTGATGAAACGCTCACTCACACTCAGACCCGTTCACACTCAGACTCACTCATACTCAGACTCCTCCATACTCACACTCACCCACACTCACACATTCGCACACTCAGACTCACTCACACTCACACTCAGACTCACTCACACTCAGATCCACTCGCACTCACACTCACTCGCACTCAGACTCACTCGCTCTCATACGCATGCTCACTCTTACTCATAATCTATCACGCTCAGACCTGGAGAAAGCAGGGATGTCTTGAGCGAGGCGGTGGTTTGAGCATTCCCAAGGGGGAGCCGCCAAGGTGTTTGCAGGGGCCCGTTCGCGCCCAGATTGTGGGGATGTCTCAGGCGGTTTGCATGTTTCGGTGCTTAGGCTCGCCTGCTTTCAGAGCAGATGGTGAGGCTGTCGCAGGCGAGGCGCTGCTTTCAGCACTCCCAAGGGGTGGCCGCCAGGGTGTTTGCACTGGCCCGTTTACGCCCAGATTTGGAGGATGTCTCAGGCGGTTTGCATGTTTCGGTGTTCAGACTTGTCTGCTTTCAGAAAAAATGTGAGGACGTCTCAGGCGAGGCGCTGGTCTCAGCATCCAAAGGGGCCTGGACTGTGAGGATGTCTCTGGCGGTTTGCCTGCTTGGTGCTCTGGACCCCTCGGCTTCCACAGGGCAGACTGCAGGGATGCCCAGAGCCAGGCGCTGGCTTCAGCACCCCAAGGGTGCCCGATCGCGGGACCGTGTCAGAGGCGGCCTGCTCGCTTGGTGGCCGAGCCTCCGCTGCTTCCTGGAGCAGGCCGTGCGGATGCCTCCGAGCAGGGCGCGCTGGTGTTACGAGCCCGAGGGGGGGGGGGGCCGCCGCCGGCCCGAGCGTGGCCACGCTGCGGGGTGGCATTTTTTGCCCGTCGGGTGGCTCGGACGCCTTGGCTCTCAGGGCAGGCCGATCGTGAGGACGTCTCGAGCGAGGGGCTGGTCATATAGAGCACCCGGGGGGGAGCCGCCAGGGATGGTGGCGCTGGCCTGCTCGCGGCCGGAGCGTGGGGACGTCTCGAGCGAGGCGCTCGTTTTTGCACGGCCGCCTCCTTTCCATTCAGAGCCTTATGACCACCTCGATATAGCGAGAAGAACGGTCGTCAGGGAGGAGGGAAGACGGAGGAAGATGGAGGAAGACGCGAGAGAAGGGAGAAGAGAGGGAGGAGGAAGAGACGGGAGGGGCGACGACGAGGAATAGAAAGAACAGGGGGGAAGGCCGCCAGGGAGAAAGACACTTGCTAGGGAGGAGATAGGAGGTGTGAGGACGGATGAATAGGGAGGACGAGGAGGAGGAAGGATGACCAGTGTAAACCGAAGACGCACCAACGATGCTGCAATGAACCTTCCAAATTCCTTCTTTATAGGGCCCTACAAGGATTTGCTCATCGCGGGAAATTCCTCATTGGAAGACAAGCGTCGGAGAGTCCCCAATCGTGCCAAAACGCACTTCCTGGGACTTCAGCGTCGCAACTCAAAGCTGGTGTTGCGCCCTGATCATCCTAAATCGTGCCGGATCACCGCCCCTCGGATTCCGACACCGCAAATCAATATCACTGTTGCGTTGTGACAGTGCTAAATATTGCCAGGCTGCTATTCCTTGGACCTCAGCGTCGCAAGGCAAAAGGAGTGTTGCGTCCTGCCAGTGCGCAAGACAATGCTATTATTGAGTTCTGACGGACCTAAATCTTGCCAAAGAGCCACTCCTGGGATTTCGACCACGGGAATCTCTGAAGCTGTCGCTAACTTTCAATATGAATGTGCGCGGCGCTGAGGCGAGAGCCACGCATCCTTGAACGTGTTGCAGAGCTTTCAGACGAAAATGCGCGGCGCCAAGGCGAGAGCCACATTTTGAAAACCACCCGCCCTCCATCAGTTCAGCTGTTGCAAGCTGTGAAGACGAATGTGCGCGGCGCAGCGGCGAGAGCAACATTTTGAAAACCACCCGCCCTGCATCCGTGGAGCTGTTGCGGACTCGTAAGACGAATGTACGCGGCCCGAGCCACATTTCGGAAACGGCCCGCCCTCCGTCCGTGAAGCTGTTGCAGGTTCAAGACGAATTTGCGGCGTGCGGCAAGAACACTATTTCGAACACCACCCACCCTCCATCATCCGTTAATCTGCTGCGAACTTGTAAGACGGATGTGCGCGGCGCGAAGGCGAGAACATCATGCTGAAACTCACTTGCCCAGCATCCGTGAAGCCACTGCGAACTCGTAACACGACTGTGCGCGGCGCGACGGCGAGAGCCAAGTTTTTGAACACGGCCCGGCCTCCACCTGTGGAGCTCTCGGTTCAGGGCCACGAGCGGGGAGGGAATCTCCGTGGACACGCTCGGGCCGCCCCACCGACACGCCTGGGGGTGCGACAAGCAGAAGTCAGGTATGAGGAAAGCGGCTTCACGCAGGAGGACAGGGAAGGACGGCGCCAGGGAGGAGGAGGAGGAGGAGGAGGGGGGACGCAGGAGAAAGAACGAGGACGTGGGAGGAGGGAACTGGGAGGAGGGAGGAAGAGAAGGAAAGGACTACGACGTGGAGGAGGAGGACGAGCAAGGAGAGGTGAGGGGGCCTGCTCACTGCCTGTCTGTCTGTGAGTTGTCGTCGTCGTTGCCCCTCATTGTATCCGCCGTCGTCCTATCCGTCGTCCATTCGGATTCGCGCTCGCACCCAGGCACTCACAGCGGGGCGTGCCAGAAAATAAGATACGCATATGGGGATTTCCTCTTCGAGTAACTTGTTGCTGAATTCTCACCATTGAGGAATGACTGTAGTTGATTACCTCCTCCGGTGACCACTGTGTTTTTTCAACTGAAGTGCTTCCCCCGGGGCTTGCTCCCGGCTTTTTACCAGGGGAAGTCACTAGGCTCATACTGCGCTGTTGGCCCCCAAAGTACAACGCCAACGGCTCCTACCTGATACTTCCTCAATGTATTCCCACATCGCGCTCTCGCGCGGGACTTCCTCACAATTTTATCTAAGCATCGCGCTCTCGCGTGGGACTTCCTCGCAACTTGTTCAAACGCCGCGCCCTCGACATGCAGGAGTCACGCTCTCGCTGTTTTTCCTCACGATTGATCTGGGAATTGAGCTGTCGCTCGAGACTTCCTCGCGATTCATGCAGGACGCACGCTTGAGCAACCCGCCTGCTCGACCTGGTCGCCCTCCTTCCCGACCCGCTTGGTAGGGTCTATCCGCCCGATCTGCCAGTCTGGTTCTGCTACGTGTTTTCTGCTCCTAGCCCCCCTCCCAGTCTCTCTCGTGCTCCATCCTCCTCCCTCCCCCTTGTCCCTTCCGTCCATCCGTCATCTCTTCCTTTGCCTCAGGGGCTGCACGACAGACACGTTGCAGGCAAGAAAGATATACCCCCCAGGGGAGACGGTCGAAGACGAAGAGGACGGGTGTCCAGGGTTCGGGATCAACGTGGTGAATGGCACTCGAGCAGATACGAGAGAACATTTTTAATATGATGGCTGTTGTTGTCTTTTGTTGTCTTTTGTTGCTGTTGTTGTTGTGGTTGTTGTTGTTGTTGGTGGTGGTTTTGGTTTTGGTTTGGCTTTTGTTGCTGTTTTCTTGTTGTTGCTGCTATTCAATGTTAATTGCAAAATTACCCTGTGACGTACCCAACCCATTTGTATCATGGGAAACGAGGAGTTGGCCGAAACTTGCATGGACAATCGAGTTGCAGGATCCGTTGTTTGATATGTAAGCTACTTGGGACACGCGCCTATGGCATGATGCGCAGGAGAACCATACAAGAACGAGGGGCGACAACTACAGGCTCGAAGAGGACATGGGGAGTCGGGAACGAAGAGCAGGAGAAAGACGTGCGGGAAGCCCACTGTGCTGGGCCCCCCAGCAGGCCTCGAAAGTGGCGACAGTTTCACAGATCGCAGCCCCCCAGGGATGGCGAGGTCTAATTTGAATCCGCGGTGACTACCCACTGTGCTGGGCACCCCAGCAGGCCCCGAAAGTGGCGACAGTTTCACAGTTTGCGGTGGGCACCCATTGTGCTGAGCTCCCCAGCAGGCTTCGAAGGTGGCGACAGTTTCACATATCGCAGCCCCCCAGGGATGGCGAGGTCAAATTTGAGTCCGCGGTAAGTACCCACTGTGCTGGGCCCCTCAGCAGCTCTCGAAAGTGGCGACCGTTTCACATATCGCAGCCCCCCAGGGATGGCAAGGTCTAATCTGGGTCCGC